ACGATAGCTCTGAGTTGTTATTTCTGCATCATTTAGACCAAAATCGCACAAAATTTCAACGCATTGACCATTTAGTTTTGAGAGCATTTCAGAGTTGAAATTTTGAATATTTTTTTCCCTAATTTTTTTGTTTTAAACGAATGTAGTTGAAGTTTTTTGGGACTACTGCCAAGCGTAGGATTGATTCATTCCAAATGCCAAATACACATAAGCGGATCCAGACGCTAGAACGAAGGGGGTGAAAGGTGGGCCCGGGAGGCTGCCTTCAACCTCTGCTGTCCTCATCATCCTCCGACCAAAAAATAGATCTCTTGACTTAAAGACTAACTGAAAGAAATCGAGAATCGGTTTTGAAGTGAATAACACTGCAATTTTAACGAAAACGAAAGTTTGTCTAAAGGTATAAAAAATTTCAATCCAATGTCTCATCTCAACGAACCAAAATACGGTCCATTCTAATCCACTCGTGAATTTGAACGGAGTAAATCGACGGAGAGAAATTTGATTGATTGCATTTCAATGGGGACGGAAACACCCTTTGAAGCATCTGCGTCTTGGACGCTGGACAGTAAACCAAAGGGAAACCGAACAAGTGCAGTAACGCAAAAGTTTCTAAGCCGTCAAAGTCCTTTCATGTTCTCAAACATGCTGCGAGTGATCGAATAAAAGTTTTGAACTCGCAGCCTCAGGCGATTTTGAAATACCACCACGATGAGCAAAGTTTGGGATCCTCTGGTTTCACAGCGGTTATCGATAAAGGGCATTTCAATAAATTCGGCTCTGAAGCCTCCAGTCATCGCCTTCTGATGAAAGAATTTATTCAAAAACGGGTGTTTCCTCTAAAGAAGCGGTCACTCCTGAGGAATGTCAAACTTTTTCCCCCCGGACTAGAATTTGAGCTTCATCGTCGCAGCGTTGTCACGTGACGTCACAAGCTCAAATTTTTTTCAAACTTTGTCAAAAATTTCCAACAAACCCAACCTCTCTTACATGACTATTTACTATCTGTAATGTAATACATTGTCCATATTTTCGTCGCCAATATCGACCAGTTCTGAATTATTAGGTTCATTAAAATGATTTTCAGTTGATAACTTAATCCACAATAGTCATGCCAATGAGGATAAGGCGGGGACAAGGAGGAGAATGAGGACTCATTTGAGATTGTTCCTCGATTTATTGAAAAGATAACTTTAACTCTCACTTATTTTACATCGCTTGTTGATGCCTGAATTACGCGTCGGATATGTTATGTTTGAGGTATTTGCACAGAAAAAAGGTATCAATGAAAAAATATTAATACTTGAATGCGATCCTCCAAATTTTCCTTTTTTTTTTCTTTTTTTGATAAGAGAGGTGCAGAGGCAGCATCAACTGCCATTTTCACGGAGAATTTGTTCAAAAGAAGAAAAAAAAAATGGTTCCTAGTCAGGAAAAATTACACAAGAAAGGTATTTTAATAAAATAATAAGACAGAAAATCCGCAAAGTTAAAAACCGAGGGTGCGTGGTTTTTTCTATTCCCACCAATAATTTGTCTATATTATATCGCGTTTGCAGTCATGTAGTCAGCCTACCGAATTTCAGATGTTACTTTTTTGTCTAACTCACAACACCGCCAAGAACTAGATAGTGCGAGTCACATGTGGTCATCACTTAAGTAACCAAGTCGGGACCGCAAAATAGAGGCGAACTTTAAAAATATATGATTAAAAAAGTTTTTCGAATCTAGAGAACTTTGCGTCGCTTTGCTTCATTCAGTCGGGCATCACTCGGGCTTAGGCCGGATATTTTTATGACTCCCAGAAGTTTCCGTTTTTAAGTATGTCAATCAGACTTGCCACCTCGTGCTGTAAATCTGTAGTTTCCAATGGGATTCATTCATTTCCGCGAATGCTGAATCGTATTTCTGCTCAGCACGGCAACACTAACGGTGTCTTCTATCTCGCTTGCTTGGAGAGAAATATTGCTGACGAGTGCGTGTTTAGAGTTCTAAAAACTTTGACCCGCTACTATTCCGTTAGAATGTAATAATAGTTCCTTTCAGACACGTAGCTGGGGGAGGGGGTCGGCCTAAGCCCCCCCTCCTTTCCATGTGAAAGCCAAAACTAGGAGTTTTCCTCTACAAATTTCCAGGGAAAAATTCCCAAACCCATTTTTTTCTGGGAGGAGGCAGCTAAGGGCAGCTGAGGTCACTGAGCTCTTGCTTTTGTAATGGTTTATGTATGATTACCAGAAAATCTAGTAGCTGATATTAGAATTTTGAAAGTGCTCTTCGTCCCGCTGCTAAGTGGTACTATACCTATGCTGAAAAATATCTAGTACTGGCTGGTTAATTTCCTGAGGCTCTTAAAATGTAAGGATTTTAATAACAACTGCCATTTTCTTAATTCTTTAGTGCTGCACTGGAAAAAAAAACACACTGGATCTAGAGTCCAGACTCCTGAAAACATTGACAAGAAAAAATAATATTGATTCAATCGGATTTTTGCTTGAATCAAAACAAAATCCGCTTAAATTAAGAGGCTTGGTTCTTGATTTAAGCTAGATTCTGATTGCATCAAGAGTACTTTTTCTTGTCGATGTTTTTAAGAGTCTGGACTCTAGATCCAATGTGTTTTTTTTCCAGTGTGTTCAAAAATGCATTGAGGAAGAAAAAATTGTAGTTGCATGGTTTGCGTCCGTAAACAGATTCATCGCTCCGAAACAGGAAATGTGCTGGAAAATTTGTAGCTCCAGAGTTGCATCAGAGCGAGAGGAAAAAAAAAAACAAACAAAAAGTATAAATGCGGTTTCTGGAGGCGGTTCAGTTGGATTTTTCTTTGATTTCTGTAGAGCACGAAAAGGAGAGAACGGACAAAAGCTGCCTTGAATTTGGTCCCGCGGACACTTGGAACTTAGTGCGTAGATAATTGTAGGTGCCGCGCACAACCCAAACTAAAACCCCAGTCGTCTCGGCTGTATTAGTTTCATAAGAATTTCAATTATCCCAACGACGGTTGAGCGTCTTTTAGGATTTGTTCCGGACCAGAAAAAGGTTGTTGAGGTAGGGAATGGTATAAATGGCTTTTGTGGTTAAGAATCCGGGAATCCATCCGGGGCCAGGGCGACTCGCTTTGAAGTGAAGTCTCTTTCATTTTCTTCCGACTCGCAAAAGTAATCTTTCGCTCGGAGGCAAGTCGGAACAAAACTAACGGGAAACTTCTGGAAACTTGAAAGTCACCAAAGAGGAAAGGAAAACAGAGACCGGCCTGTATTTGCTTTTCTTCAGAGGGCGGCTGTAATTCAGTAATTAAAAAAATATTAGTCGTCCACGGAGCTGACGTTAGAGGAGAGCGAAACTTGTTCGCCGCGTCTCTTCCGGCGGGATTGTGTCTATTTTGAAAACAATCTCCGAGATTTGTTCCCTTTGTCACGGTAGTTGTTTTATCTTCCGAAGGCGACCTCCGCGCCGCCCCCTCCCGTTCCTTCAATATTTTCGGAGGAGATTATGCTAAGAATACTTTCAAGTTTCCCGCCTCCACTCGACGGGAAAAACTTTCCGTCACACGTCTCAGTTGTGTACTTTTTTATTTTATCCTTCCCCTTCTTCTTTCCGACACCAAGTTCCTGGAAATTACCCTAATTTACCAACTTGCAGCAGGAATCCAGCGCTGCCGCCTTCTTGACTCATTCAGGAACACGTACGTCCGTTCAAGTATTACGTCACCCTCTCTAGAGTGCCTGTATACGGGAGAGTATTGCCATCTCAATCGTTTTACTACAGAAAAAGTGTGCCGCTATCTGATGGGTCGGCTATCATGGAGCCCCAAAGTTGGACCAATGTAAACAAACCCCGGCCACTCCGCTCCTGGTTCGTCGTCTCCCTCACGAAAGAACGTAACTCCAATTCAGTGTTGCCAAATTATCCCTTGCAAATTGCATGTTAACTGTAGGGATCATGGGCATTTCTACTTGAACATTTCACTGATTTCCCGTCAGATTTCATGCAAAAATCAGAAAAATGTTGGATACAAATTTCGCAAGTGGATATTTGTGAAATTAATTATTTGTTTGAGTCAGTTTAGCAACCTTGGAATGGAGTTATGTTTCTTCGTCCAGGAGACGACGAGTTAGGCCGAATTTAAACAAACAAGATGGCCGAAAAGTTCTGCAACGTTCCAGACGTGATTTTGGGTGTGATAGAAATTGTTTTTTCCAACTTCTGAATTGAGCTCGGATCGAACTTTGATGAATATTATTACCGAAAATTTTGAGTGTAATTAACATCCATTTCTCAGCCAACAATACGTGTTCCTCTGGGTCGGGTTTGTTCACTTTTGGCCAACTTTGGATCTCCATGATAGGCTAAAACTGATGAACCAATCAGAGAGCGGCACAGAGATGGCAATACTCTCCCGTATACAGGTACTCTAACCCCCTCGAGGGTCTGAGTTTACCTTATACGCACTCTTGCGAAGAAAAAAGGGAATCAATCCTTCTACAAGGAGATCCAAAATTCCCACACCCTTCTTATAGCCCCTCAGGTTCTTGCCCTTTTCGAAGCAGTTCCCTATAATTTGAGGCGGGGGTGGGGGGGTGGGGGGTGCTCCCAAAATTCGTTTCCTTTTACTTAGGAGCAGTTACAAAATCTAATCCCTATATCAATGTGTTTAAAAGTTATAGGGGTGATGCCTGCATGATGCTGGTGGTAGAGCACTTTTCGTCAACTTGTGTTTTAAAACAAAACAATTCCATTATAATGATCTGCGACAGATATTTTTTAAGCTTCTTTTGTTAGTTTTTGAAACATGTGGGGGAGGGTTGCGGGAAAAGAATGTCAGTCTTACGCGATTCAGAAGTATGTGGATGTGAGAGCAGGAGGGATCCAATTCTTCAATTATTCTTGCTGCTATGGTGTTTTGTACGAGTAATTACAGCCACCTATAATTGATGACTCTGACTCTTTGAAGCAACGATATAAATCATTCTAAAACAAATCGAAATTTTTATGTGTTTCAGTCAAAAGCTGTGGCCGCACGACCTTTCCTCAACTGTGGATTTGCTGAGTTACCATCCCGTTGTTCACTCACCCTCTACGTACACTTGTGGCTGTACCGAGGAGATATCTTCCTACTGAAGGAAACATTTCTTCCTTACGACGATTCTCCTATTTACTGAAGACGCTGTTATTGCTCCGTCACAGAAAAGCAACTCACATATCGATAAATTTTCAGTATAGGTAGTGCTGAAAAGAGATTATGTCACCGTTATTGTTTGCATTGACAAGGCTCACTTGCAAGGTCTATATAGACTAGTAGAAAATCACTTGTTGCCTCTTCAAAATCTTACGAAAAAATTAATTAACACGTTGAGAAGTTCGGAAACAAACACTTGAAAGATGAATGAGTATGTTTGGCACAATATTGTGATGGAAATTAAATTTTAAAAATGATGTCATTTGCATTTTCGCCATTTAAACAATGTTAATTGTCAGGTCTAAAATCTTGTTTTGGAGTTGACGTCCCGTTATGATTCGTTTTCCCCGTTCTACACAAATTATTCTATATGTAATTTTCAGCTTCCATTTTAATCTTGTGGAATTGGAGGACTTGGATTAACGAAGAATCTGCAAAATAGGTAACTACAACTACACGACTGAAATAGCGTCCTTGTAAATAGTCCTATGATGTAAATTCAATTTAAGTTTCACTATCCTTGTGGGATAAAACCAGGGTAAATGCCTTTTTTTCTTGTACATAAAGCTGAAAATTTTAGGTAAAGTAATTAAGATATATTAAGAGTTTCATAAACTTCAATTTAGGACTGCTATCTAAAATGTAAATATTGCTTCATCAAAAGATACAAAGGAGATAGAAAAAAGTGCAATATTTTGTGAATCAATGTATGCACATACCCATTCAGGTTGGAGAAGAAATTGGTCGCAAACTGATATGATTGGTTGGATGTCTGAAAAGAAATGACATGTATTTAACCTGACAGTTACCGATCTATTTATTTATTTACTTTTTAAATTAAATTTTGTGATCAACAGAAGGCACACGTTTAGAAATGAACGACACCTAAGATCTGTAGCTTATTTATTTTTTTCATGCATTGACAGTGGACAGTAAGAATTTGAAAGTTACACCGGAGAAAAAACACATTGGATCTAGAGTCCAGACTCTTAAAAACATCGACAAGAAAAAGTACTCTTGATTCAATCAGAATCTAGCTTAAATCAAGAACCAAGCCTCTTAATTTAAGCGGATTTCATTTTGATTCAAGCAAAAATCCGATTGAATCAAGAGTATTTTTTCTTGTCAATGTTTTCAAGAGTCTGGACTCTAGATCCAATGTGTTTTTTCCAGTGTATCCTCAAAGAAAATATCAAATCGCAGTTTAAAGTGAACACTAATTTCTTGTCATTTATTTTACTTTATGTTGCTTATATTTCAATTTTGAGATTTCATCTTTTTAACGCGGCATAGGCCAATTTTAAAACCTTCTAAAGCAGCATGAGACGTTATCAATCCTTTGTAACGAGTATTTCTTCATTCTTTTCTCGGTGTTCGTTTAGTTGCGGTTTGGTCAGTCGTGCAGACTTAGTATATTGAGCATTTCAAAAATTTTGAAAGTACCACACTAGAAATACAGGTTAATTGATAAAATTAGAAAAATATTTAAACACTCACTAGTCTAACTGGTCATCACTCACGTGTCCCAGGACCGGTTTTATCGAAAGAATCAAACTAGTGAATGCTTTTAAATATGTTTTATTATTTTATTAATCAATTAGTATTTTTAATTTAGGTTTTCGGGATGAGATGTTTCATATCCGTTGGGTTAACTTTCATTTAGGACCTGATAATGTATGTAATGCTATGATACTTGTAAGTTGGTTGGCGCAACTTTATAATATCTTTCAAGACGGGAATGAGTATGCCTACCTGCTATTAACAATAGTTATTTCAATTTCAAATATCTGTACTTTCTACTCGTGAAACGTGTGATACGGGAGATTTTTGCAATATATTATTGTATATACATGTCTCTGTGCAGTGTACATTTTAAAAATGTGTAAATTATTGTTGCATTTATTTTTTTTTCTAGTCAAGAAGAATGACTTTTGCGAGTGTTTTTCATAAATAAAATGAATTAATAGTAATGAATTATGGCGCATGGACGAGAAATTATTACAATATGATGTGAATATCCGGTCATTTTTGTGAAACTAGTTTGTTCTTTCCTTCTTTTTTCGGGTAAGCCACCCGGGCACGACTTTCTAATTGGACGTATTTATGCTAAAAGGAACTATAATGCACGCATGAACCCTATGCACATAGTTCCTTTTAGCGTGAATGAGTTCAATTTCTTTCAGATTCCGAGAGCAACGTTGTAAAAATGATATTGAGGGATTAAACGGTCGTTCCCCAGAATTGTTCCTATTACTATAAAAAGCATAAATATATTTTTATTAATCCTTCCATAATGGTATTGTTAAATATTCTCATTTATTAAAGCATGTGTAAAATGAAATTGCGTCAAGCCCAGGCCATTTTCTAATGTTTTGAAGGCACAAAAAAAATCGTCTTATGTGCTTAAAATGTGCACTAATTAGCCATCTTGGTTCTTTTATTGTTCTTACCTCCTAGGATTTTTTCTTCTTGAAACAAATGTTGTTTGATCAGAAACTGGAAAAATCAAGTGCATGATTCACCATAGTGCGTTTCAAAATCAGTTTTCTCTCAATAGTTCCATTTCCATATTTAAAACTGGATTTTGTAAATTTTCGCCTGTGTTGATTTACTTGCGCATTTGATACCCATTTTATAATCGTTTTAAATTTAATCCTTGCAATTTTTGAAATTTTTACCCTTGGTTTGTAAAATAAAACGGACTGGAAAAACTATGATATTGATTTCTTGTTTATCCTTTATTCTTCCATCCTCGTTAAAATACGGCAAGGTAATTGTATTTAGGAAAAAAAAATCATCAATATGTAAAGGCTTAATAAATTTTCTCAGCCAAGCAATTCACTCATTTACTTCATTGTTTATAAATTTTGCAGACCAGATGATAATCAAAGGTGCGCTCAAATCGTTTAATCAAAGCCTAATTCGCGCCACTATTTCAGAATGCAGGATTATGGGAAGTACAACTGATGAAATGATGGCAAAATGACAATTCTAAAACAGACGTAGTTTAAGTAGGGAGGAAAGAAGTTGAATAATCTAAGAGCAGCAAACGCACTGAAAAAAAAGTGGAAGTGGGATTGACCATAATGGTATAGTAAAAAAAAATATGGTGATAAAAAGCCAAATAATGGTCGATTTGAGTATCTAGATGAAAGTGAGAATCATACTCGATATAAAAATTACCATACCCGGATTGTAAATATCAGTTAGGTGTGTCTGTCCATCGTTTAGGTATTTCTCACCATCAGCTGGGTATTTTTTACCATACGATGAGTTAAAAGTATGGAATAACATGGTAACACTTGCGTTTGATATCTGTAGGCATCTGTATGCGACTGGTCATGGTGTTGGTAGGTTAAATTTACCATACTGGTATAGTCAGCGTGGTGAGAGCTCCCGCTTGACTGCGCTGCGGTCTGTGGTCCGCCATTTTTCGTTTGTCTGTTTGTCAGTTATAAATTTATCACGTTGAGGGTCGGAGTCCGTGGCTGTGTTTTATTGATCCATATTAATCCATGTGAATCCACGCGTAATTTGCCCAAATTTGTGTTCGAATTGTCCCTAAAGCTACCGTCTTCTCTTCGAATCTATCTATATTGATCTGCCACATACATTTTCTGAGATTTTTTCGTTATTCGTATCGACCAATTTCTGGAGGTTAGGAGTTGCTACAATGAATCTGGCTTGCAAAGTGAAGGAATCCTGAAAATTTGAAAACCTTCGCAAAGTTGTTCTGCAATCCAGTGAATATCGGTTCTGTGTAAAGTCATTTCGAAAACATAAAAGTGCGGAAGTAATTTGAAAATAATCGACTAGAAGTGATTTTTGAATACTTCGTTCGTAGGTATATCTATATTCTTGTTAAAATTTTCGAAGCTCAACATACTCAGATGAAGAGACAAATGTGCGTGGGATTGATGTTTAACTGTAACTTTAAGCAAAATTTGGCAGCTTCTGCCCCACCGTGAACCGTGCGATTGGATTTTCATGTAGTGTCTTTTTGTGGGTATATTTTGAACTATCTATTTATTATATGCAATTAAATTTTCCGTGGATCTGATTTAGTCTGTAAATGATACCTTAACGCGAATAACAAGTATGGTTTTGGTATCATTTACTTGAAATCAGTGAAGCAATTATCTGCTATTTCTCGTTGAAACTGTCTTTAACTGCCATTGATTGTGTATGTAACGGAATTTCTAAAAGTAAGATGTAAGTAAAATATCCACGACTTTCATCAAAAGCATTTAATAATATAAGATGAGTGGATTTTAGAATCTACAAGGTTTGTCGCAGCATCTGGATGCTTGAAATTACCATACTAGTCAGTCGGGAACGCCACACTGGCACTGTGTCGCATAGTGTCAGCCGTATCGTGTTATTTACCATACCGGTATATTGGTAACTATGCTGCAGCTTCACTGTGTAAAAAATCAAGTAGACAGTATGGTAAATAACACCCAAACTCTGGTAAATCCCACCGATTATTTTTTTCAGTGAGGTATTTGGTGGTAAGTCTGAAAAGGTCACGGAGGTTACAAACAAAGGGGCCATGTGTTCAAGAGTACAGCATCTCACATAATTTTTCAAAATGTAAGCTCGGTGAATACAATTGAGTAACAAAATTTAAGCAACATTTCACGAGACTACATTTTAAACCTTTCCTTCAACAAGAAGCCTCTCTGGATTGACATCCTTTAGGCAAGAAACTAATGAACAGGATGATAGTCTATTTATCACTACGCAAACCTTCCGTAAAACTGTGCTTTAAGCTATGAAAATAATAATTAATGTGAATTGAAAGAGTGACAGAGGGGAAAGTTAATAATTTACAATTTTTGTATTAAAAAAAATTCGTTTGAAGTTCAGAGCTGGCGTGGAAACTTGCGGCACAACTAAACTTTAAAATCAAACCCAGTCGAAATAATTAGCAATTCTGTTCAGTTTTTTCTCAAAATATATCCCGAGAAAAGCTTTACCCGAGATCAATAGTCTTTCAACTTTTGTTAAATATCGTAAATGACTTTCTCATCTGTTTTTTTTTGTAAATTGCTGTAATTTAAACTGAATGATAAAATATTGGCACAAACCGAAAAAAAGTGAAGTTGATTTAATATTCTGGATGTAAAAAAAGTATGCGAGAACTTATAAAAAGCTAAATTACCCGCTGCGGCAGATAATTCAGCAATGCCAAGATGTAAAACTACCTGCTGTGGCGGACAATTCAGCATTTTTTAAGTTCTTGCACACTTTTTTTTACATCCAGAAAGTTAAGTCAACTACACTTTTTTCGGTGTAATTATTTCTACGAAAGTACCAAAAAGAAGGTTTTGTCAATGATATCCCTGAGCGCAAAGAAATTTCTATATTTTAAAATGGAAATGACTTTTACGATCCAAGAGAAAGACGAGCGTAGCAAAATGATATCGAAAGAAAAAGAAAATTTGGTATGGTGGAGGCTAATGTTCATTATATTCGATATCTTCACCACCAAACTACACAATGTTCGGTCAATCTTAACAGATCGTGGTCAAATTTTCGTCGAATCAATTCAGAACTAATCGACCCTTTCCTCTGCTTGAGTTTC